CCTTCCACATTTAATTTAGTCTTTGCATTTAAATCAGAATTTAAATAAAAAAATATTATGATATCCTTTCGTTTTTCTCACCGTGAAGCAAATTTTGCCCTTAAAGCACTAGCATTTCAGTAATGCATGCTGATTGGTGCATTAAAAAATCACGTGTGAAAGAAACAGCTCTCTGATGTGGTTGAAGGTGACGCCTAGAGCCTGACTGATATAAGATTTTGAAGACTGACGCTGATACCAATATTTGCAAAGTTAAAAATTCGATATTGCGATGCTTCAGCCAGCATTTTTTTCCTTTCAAACACAGGAATAAACTGATTTCCTCAACATTTCCCATCTTTTATGCTCTACCTGACTCTGCATGGATCGGCTGGTTATGTGTGTTGCCAACAGGAAAGTTGCAGATTGCGCTCTAGTGCACAAACTCTGCAACATTGCCACTCTTAAGGTGCTGAAGGATGTTTTGTCAGTCTCTCCTTTTTTGTTTTTAACCTTTCATTTACTGGCTGTAACAATACAGTACAGATAGAGCTGCTATTATTTAACATCAAGTGAAATTTGCTGAAATTCTCAGCCGGCTGTTTTATGTTTAAAATCAGAATTGATTGATGGAAATTGGTACTATAATTTCTTTAATACTTTAAAGATTTTCATGAAGTCTGTAAAAAGTATCTAAAAATTTAATAAAATATGGCTCAATTCAATCTAGACTATCTTGCGAGGACACTGTGAGGGCTTTTATGAAACCAAAAGTCTAAAAAGCAGGAATTTTCAATTATACTCACAGTAGTCTGCTTTAATAATGTGTAGATACACCTACCACAGTTTAAACAGTCAGAAATTTCTAATGTGTGAATGCATCGGTGCAACAGCCTGATTGGCTCAAATGATTTCAGTTCATCTGGCTCTCTTTTGGGAAAGACGACAGGATAACCTTCAACTTTGCTGTTACCAAATTCTGCAACGATTTCTTTTCAAAATTGTCTGAATGCCATTCCTCTTTCTTAGACTGCCTCTGACAGTACTTTCCCTCAAGAGGCTAAGGCTGAGTAAACTTTCAGAGAAACGATACATTAAAAATGACAAAAAAAACATCAAAAAACAAAAAAAAAGAGCACACACCTCAAGACAAAAAGGTTTTTTCTTTCTTAATTATACTGAAATTTCCACTCAGCATATGTATGAGATCCTAATTAAATGAGCAGAGAGGAAAAGCAAATAAAACAATGCATTTTGCATTTTAAAATGGATTTTCCACTCGTGCATTTTCTTTTTAACTTGTCCCACTTACAGTGAACTTCTCTTCTGTTTCATGCATGTCTCTGTTGTAAAGACAACAAAAAAGGAGCCAGATGAACTGTGCAGATGACTTTATCCCTTCACACTTACCCACAACACTCACTGACATGAGTTTGACGAGTCAAAGGCAAAATGTGAAGTTAAACTTACATTTTAGTTAATGGGAGATTACCAGTAATTCTACCTTCTACTCAAAGGCTTGAGGAGACACTATACTGAACTATTAGACACATAAATCCAGCTTAAATATCAAAAGCATATGTACTGAACTGAGCAAAACAGCTCTACCCAACAGTAATGATCTCAGAATAAAAGCTCCTGAAATCAGAGGCTGCTTTTGGATCAAATCACCCCCGTGCTCTTGCTGGCCTGTGTGCCTGTTAGATTGAAAAGCATGCTTCTTAGTTTCAAACTGAACTTCTCCTGTATCTCTATTTTTAAGCGTGCAGCCTGCTCCATGCTGGACCTCCATAATGGAACCAGCTGTGGGGGCAAGATTAGTGATGCAATCACCAAGCTTGCTTTTCTTTCCTGCCGTCTCTTATGCACTTGCTAAAACTGCTTCTTTCTTTCTGCCCATGAGAACAGTCCAACAAAAGGATATCTTTTTAGATTTTAAAATATTTTTGGAGTCAAGCTTCAACTTCTTTTAATGTATGTTAATGGTATTGAATGCAATAAAATGCAAAAGCAGGATTAACCTAACTAATTTCTTCATCCATCATGAAGAAATTAGATTCTGCAATGCAAAACAGATGTATTACTAATATGTACACATAAGTGCTGTGCTGTGAGATCCAATCTCCGAGGAAGGTGAGGCACTAATTCACACATGCCTAGTTTCCAGTGTAGCTTCATTCAGGATAATTATATGCAAGATAGACCAATTATATTATGACTCCCACGAGCACTTCTATGACTCACGTGTGTGTGAAAAAGAGTTGGGAATGGACGAGAAACATTTAAATAATTTGCAATTTGCTTCAT